TCTAGAAGTGTGCGACACAGCAACTTGTTTTGCCTAAATAAAGAATCTCCAGCACTTTAGTCAGTAAAAAAATGGATTGTTTATCTGGATGAAATAGTAAATTTAATTTAGCTTAGTTTAGGTTTGGTTTGGTTTATTGGATTTATATGCCGCCCTTATCCCAAGGACTCAGGGCGGCGTACAACATTAAAAAAAACACATATTACAAAAGTTAAAAAAAATAGATTAAAATTAAAAATTAGTTTAGTTTACTTTACTGTCATTGCACCTTGTACAATGAAATTAAATGCCATATTCAGTGTACATTATACATAAAAAATAAAACAAAAACACACCTCTTTCACATTCTATATAATTGAATTGAAAACCCCTGATATTGCATTAATATTGCACTATTCAGTAAAATTCTGTATTTTATCCACATTTTTTGTGCACAATCTTCTTAATTATCTTTAAGGAAATGGGAAAACTGTCAAAGGAATACACAGTTATTAATCTGGTGTTTTCCAGATCTTTGGCCACAACTGGAATCCACCCAAATATTCAGGTTTGTTGAATTCTGAAACTTACAGTCTCAATACATTTAGACATTATCAATATTTTCATTATTTCAAAGACCAGTTTCAATATTTGTTTCTAAAACTGGTCTTTGAAACAAGGAAAAGTGTCGTGTTTTTTTAAAACCGAATCAGTGAAAGAAATGCAACTGGGTAATGAACATGCATTTTCAATTATCTGAGTTTTGTGTCATGAGTAACCTGTTCATTTTGGTTCCAAAAGAAGAGAATATCTGTAGCTCAGAACTTAACTTGGTAACACAGCTAGTCGGGTAATGAAACGTCGGGCAAGCAAACTACCAAACTCAGAAAGTCCCAATGATTCCACTGTTCATTTTTGGTTTTAAAACATAAGCTTTCAGTCTGAGGACTTTAGGAAAACACATAGTGTTATGAGATTGGGAGGTGAATTGAGTTCCCTTTCATCTTGGCAATTCTTGGTTCACAAAAGAGACTCTATGGGCAAGAAATGTCTGGCACAAACATTATACATTCTATTGTTAGTTAAATAGAATCAATAGGTTTCCATGGGAATTCAACCATAGACTGACTTCCTTACTGGGCAGATCTGAATGAGTTGCCTCTCCCCCACAAAGAATGTTGTAGTTCAAGAGCCTATAGTTTTGCAGATGCAGTATCTAAACAGCACATCACAATTGAAAAGTACAACAACAATTAGAAAGCTAATTACTTGAGAAAGTTGACAAGGGAGGAGTGGAGATATCTGTTGAAATGTTTAAATCTATGTTCACTAGTATATTTGAGTTAAGACAAATACAGTATTATAAACTCAGTGATTCAAAGCCAGTCAAACATGGAATACATGATACTAAGTTCTTATTTACCTAAATATTTTATCCCCTTTTCTAACAACTAAGGAAATATACAAACAAAATAAATCAAGCAAAAAACACAGAAATGCCCAGGTAGTCATAGGAATTCAACTCAATCGGATTCTTTTATTTTTTAATAGTCATCCTCTCTTGCATAACACAGGTAGTCCTCAACTTATGACCCACATTTGAGACATTTGTTAAGTGAGTTTTGCCCCGTTTTGAGAGTTTTATTTTCACAGTTGTTAAGTGAATCATTGGAGTGGTTAAATTAGTAACATGGTTGTTAGGTGAATCAGGCTTCCCCATTGACTTTGTTTGTCAGAAGGTCAAAAAAGGTGATCACATGGGGACACTGCAACCCTCATAAATATGAACCAGTTCTCAAGCATCCAAATGTAAATCACGTGACCATGGAGATGCTGCAGCACTCGTAAGTGTGAAAAACAGACATAATTCACTTTTTCGGTGCCATTGTAATTTTGAACGGTCACTAAGCGAACTGTTAGAAGTCAAAGACTATCTTTATATATCTGTGAGATTAAAATGGACTCTTCTGAAAATTCTGATAAATAAACAACTTTTCAATGAGATATCAGCCTTTTAGGCTTTATTAAGGCTTAAAAAACTGGGGACATGTAAAATATACATCAAATGAAAATCAATGGTAATAATAAATCAATCTGGTGTATAAATGTATTTAAACTAACATCTTTTAAACTATTCTAGAGAATCCTGTATATCCTTGGAAGCTATGGTAATTCATGAAATAATTCAGTGATATTTCAGCAATGAAATAACATTTTCTATGAAAAACCAGGGTATCCTAGGACACAGACACTGAGACAAGAAACAGGTCTAATGAATACAAAACCTCATTTTACCTGCTAATAAGGAATTGCTAATTTTACTGTTTCTTTGATCCTTCTAGCATTGAATAAACTCAACCATAGAGGGAACAGATTTACCAGCTCATATATTAAATGAACCTGTTACATAGAGACATTTGCATGCAAGGATCTATTGATAAATAGATGTATTTGATAAACTATTTGCCCTGCTATTGAAAATATTACCATTAATTTAAAAGTAGCAAAAACCGTTCATGCATGCTGGTCATGCAAATCACTGTTGCAGGACAAATAATTTGTATTTTTCTATTCTAGCCATTCAGTGGTGATTCCATTCCAGTACTAATGGAACAACTATTTCTTATATTTTTAAAACATTATAATTGAAATCATCATGCTATCTTTATTCACTCACACACAAGCATCCATGCTCTAATCCATGCTCTAATTCTGCTATAATAAAAAGGCAGGAAGTAAATATGATACTTTGGTCCTTGAAAACAGAGAAGATTTAATCATGATTGAGAGAAAGTTACTGGTTTAATGCCAAAAAAGTCACAATATTTGAAAACCTGAACAAATATTATACTTCACTTTAACACATGAATTCTAAACTATGTGCCAAATATTTTTTTGGTATAATAAAATAAGCAATCAATTTATTAAAACTAATTATTAGGATTATCCAGCCAAGGAAGATTCTGACATAAACACTGTAGCTGTGGGTTTTTTATTTTTAATTTAAGAATAATCTTTTTAATGAATGAATCTTATTACAAAGTATGTAGATCAACAGATTATTTTTAATCATAATTACTTAATAACTATGCACATCTGAGGATTAAGCTCACTGAAATTGCAAAGGATGACAGTGATATTGGAGGTGACCCTTGAGTAAAATCAACTCATATCAAGCATTCTCAGTAGTCCTTGTTGTCTTTACTTCCAACAACCTATTTAACTGATCCTAAGCAATGTACAGTAGCTGTTATGTAGCAAGCAGTTGTAAAAACATAGCAATAGCACTTAGACATATATTCCGCCTCATACAGTACTCTCTAAGCGTTTTAGAATCAGCATATGGGCCCCAACAATCTGGGTCCTCATTTTTATCAACTTGGAAAGATGGAAGGATGGAAGGCTAAGTCAACCTTGAGCCGGTGAGGACATAACTTGGAGCTAGCCAACTGACAAGAAGATATGTTAAACTTCCAATGTTTCATGCTTTCTGTCAGCCAACTCTAGATGATCCTTTTCTAAATACTATAAAACATTTTTTAGGCTTTATAATATCACATGTCCCCTTTCTTCTTTTTGTTATAAATCAAAAGTACTTAAATCAAAGGCTGGGGAGGAGGGGGGGGAGATTAGTGACTCAGCTAGGACTTTTTTTGGGGGAAGAGCAATTCCTAAGGCCCCACATGGCAATCAGCCCCATCCAAAGTATGCTTCAACATTTTAAGTAATGTGATGTACCAATACACTTTCAATTCCAAAGAAATTAATTTGTTTAATAATAATAATGTTAAGACTTAATTGTTTGGGATGTCTCCCCAAATTCCAGTTTTCTGAACTGATAGCCAACAAAAGAAGACAACAAAAAATGACATCTTGGTTGTATATTTTGAGATAATACTCAAAAATATCTTGCTTGTAGTCTTTCAGACTCTTAAATCCTGATTATATTTTCCATATTATGTATCTTTATAATTTAACTATTTATGTTGCTTTATTTTGTTATTGAGATTAATTCATATTGTAGATATTTAAATCTTTACATATCCTGTAAACTGACAAGAGTTGTGAAAGTGCAGTGTAATTAAAATTTAAAAAAATATATACTATACTGTAATAGCTTCCATGATTACCTGGCATCCTTGATTTGAGTTATGCTTAAATTTCCTTTATATATTAAAACTTTTTAACAGTAGCATCACATACAAAAGTAACAGCTTCCCAACAATTATTGTAAAGCCTGGCTTTTAATAACTGGATAGGCAGCAAGATTTATCCTTCCCCCAACCCACCCCTCCCAATTCAGATTTGGCATTCATAACTCAATAAATAGTTTACGAAGTTAACCTAAAACCACCACTTTGCTTTGGTTCCGGTATTTGTATAATATATCACAATAAGCAGAAATGACATTTTTCTACGCCGGGAGAAAGCCTACAATGATTTTCTGCCATTTCATTTGTAAGCAGCCTTCTCACAAAACAATTGTTACTGGGAGGTGGTGTCTCTTAAATAATAAGCACGAAAATATATCCTAGCAGCCGCTATCCGGTATCCTTAACAATTAAGAATGGGAATATAGATATACCTCCATATCTCTGGAGTGAAAGTAGATCTGAGGAAACGTGCCAACAATTTTCTCAGCAGATGAATGGTCCTCAGCAACTGATCCGATTAAAGGACAAAGCGAGAAAGAGAGAGGGGGGGGGGGAAGGAAGGGAGAAATAATCTATCGTATGATTTACAATTACCTAAAGCAAAAGTCATGGGGACTCTTCCCCTCACCCACCCCACTTTGAGAGCTACACACACTTTCTAGCCCAAAGCGAAAGTTTCCCACAAAAATTACTAGGTCTTCTCCTGGGGGAGGTTCTTTTTGAAGTATAATTTCAGTGATTCAAAGCTGACTCGTCTTTTCGGTTTCGCAATGGTTAAAAGTGGGAGGGGTGAAAGGGGGAATGTTGTGACACGCAAGAGGAAGTTGAGGCGGAGGGATGAGAGATGCAACTCGGAGTTTTCCGGCAGGGTGGAAATTCCCAAGCTGGGTGAACCCAGTCCCAGGGACCTTCCCCACTCGGCTGAATAACTGGAAAACCCGGCCTGGTTCTGTGCCTCAAGACAGGATTTTGACTTTCCTAATTGGATCTTCATTCATTGATTTCTTTCTTTATTTCTTTATCGTTTCTAAAAGATTATACACGGACTTCTAAAAGAAGGTCCTTACAAGATTCGGACAAGGCATATCTCGCCTTATCAAAGTGGCCGCTCTTTCACTTTCTGTTCTGAATGGGATTTTCGAGTGGGAGCGGGGAGGTTTGTTTTAACCAAGCAACTTTGGATCACAAAGAGCATCGGGGTAGAAGTATTAACGGTCGAAAAGGAGCAAGGAAAAAACAAGGGAAGGATTTGTGTCCTGATCTGAAGAACATACGGTATTTGCAGAAGGAAATATAGGAAAAATCCATTTTAAGCAATAAAAGAACCTGGCACATTAGAGGCAGAACTAATTAAAATTTATCTATTGACAGCATTTTTCTGGCACACATTTATGATCCATTTTCTGGGGGGTGGGACAATAGAAAAAAAGCTTTTAAAAAAGTAAAATATAAAAAATGTACAACATAACATTCAAGTTATACGACATTAAATAAGAAAATAAAATAAACTTAATAAAAGTATTATGTATACATACATATAGCTAGTTATGGTTTTTTACACACACACACACACACACACACACGCACACAAAATGATAGACATATATAATAGATAGATAGATAGATAGATAGATAGATAGATAGATAGATAGATAGATAGATAGATAGAGCCCTATATGAGCTCTATTCTACCCACCTTATGATGATGTATAGCTTCTTTATCTGGTGTATTAAATTCATCTCTTGGTTCTACTGGGCTTCTGAAAAAGTCTTTCTCTCTTTAGGGGTGAAATATGTTGGCAAGCCTGGCCTGAGCTTAACCCTGACTCCCTTCCCAACAGAGATGACAGCAGGGAGAAGCTTGGCACTGCTGCAGGGTAAGTGGCAGATGCAGAGGAATTGATATTTGTCTCTGACCACAACATGCCCCAATAGCCTGGGGGCCAGAGCTTTTTAGTCACCGGTGACTATCATAAAATATTCACGTCATCTCTACAAGATAAGCCACAAGAAATCCGAACTTTTTTTCGTAAAAAGTGAACTTTTAAAAGGCATTCTGCATGGTTTTTAAGGATCTGACTCATTTTTGAGTTGATGATATCACCAATATGTCTCGAACTTCATTTGCTAGATTCCAGAACAGTGACGAACAAGCCAAGTTGCGTGAGTGAGTATAGTTTCACAGCAGCTCCATACTGCTGGGAAGTTATGCAGTGATTAGCCCAGCGGCTTTGACTTGATGAAATAAAATTATAATTAGCATTCTAAGAAGTTGAAGAAATAATCAATGCTAATTTAAAGTATTTATATCATGTTCTGGACATACTTAAGAAACAAAATAGAGATGGAGAAAAACTAATGTATCAGACTCACTAAATTAGAGAATGATCAGAAACCTACAACCAAATTACACTGAAAGAGCTTTATTAGAGGCAAAACATCAGATGTTCCAGCAACATAATTTTAAAAAGAGACTAATTAAAAAATAATACAAATAAAACCTTATATCATCTGGATAAATGCCAGGACTTACCATAGCAACTTCAAACAACAGACAAGAATTATTAATGTTCACTTGCATCCACAACCACCCACTTCTGATATGAGTCTCTTTTGCAGTGCCAGTAGTGATACCATCTGCCAAAAGCAGTTGCAAAAAAAAGAAGAAGAATCACGGCAGCACCTTTTTTTGGGACTTCCCTCCACCTCCTTTCTCGGCGCTGCCTACAGAAAATACTATGGGCATAAAACAAGTAAATCATCTGCCCAGTCCTGTCTGAGTAAGCAGAAAGATGTACAAAATTACTACCCCTTCTCAACATTGATTGTTTTGAAACCTGCCCTGGAGTCAGGAAGTGGTGAGTGGGTGAAGTTTTCCTGTCCTCACAAGAAAGATTATATAATTATATCACTGGTATAACTGGGTGCAGATTTACAATTGTCTTAATGGCTTAACTACTTGTGGCAAGTAATAGAAATTATTACATTAGTTTGGATAGATCTATGGCTGAACTAGACGTTAGCTCTGCTTTTGACTTTTAGGCTAATGGCTACACTTTAAATAACAGTCCTCACAAAATAGGCATGAACAAAGCATACTTTAAATAGGTAAAATTAATTTAAAAATCAATTACAACTAATATGATTATCTTTCTTACACTTAATAATTTTCTCTTACTACATTAAAAATGTAGTTGTACATTTAATGTATTAGCAACTATTTCTGGGACAGCTCTAAGGGCTGGACCTGAAATTTTGGAAATGAGCAACCAGGACGATTAGGGGACTGGAGACTAAAACATATGAAGAACGGTTACAGCAACTGGGCATGGCTAGTCTAGTGAAGAGAAGGACCAGGGGAGACATGATAGCTGTGTTTGAATATTTGAAGGGCTGCCACAGAGAGGAGAGGGTCAAGCTATTTTCCAAGGTATCTGAAGGCCAGGCAAGGAATAATGGATGGAAACTGACCAAGCAGAGATTCAACCTAGAAATAAGGAGGAACTTTCTGACAGTGAGAACAATCAACCAATAGAACAGCTTGCCTTCTGAAGTTGCGGGGGGCTTCATCACTTTCAAGAAGAGACTGGACTGCCATTTGTCAGAAGTGATGTAGGGTCTCCTGCTTGAGGGGGCTGGTTGGACTAGATGACCTATAAGGTCCCTTCCACTCTGTTAATCTGATCTGATCTGAGTCCCTGGAGGGCAATGTATAAGTACTACACTAGATCGACTAATGTGATTACTGCAAAGCAACTGCAGATTTATCCAGTTTAAGGCGTGGCAGTTACAATATGTTTATAGTCAAGCACATACGGCTACAACCTTTAAAAATCTTTCTCTCTTTTACTTTCCCTGCAGTAAGAGGAATGGGATAAAGATGTGTGCTTTCTAAAACACAAAGCAGGTTATTCCAATAACTGAGAAAGGACAGAGATGACTATCATAACCAGTCTAAGTCAGAAAAGCAGCACAGTGTCAAATTAAAATGCCAGCTCTCTGGTATCCAGTGTGAGTTATAAATTACAGTTTGAGTCAGTATTTCTCCACCTCAGCAACTCTAGGGTGTATGGACTTCAATTCCCAGAATTCTACCAGCCAGCCCTGTTGGCTAAGGAATTCTGAGAGTTGAAGTCCATGCATCTTAAAATTGCTGAGATTGAGCAACACTGGTCTAAATGATAATTAGATTCCCGATCTGTATAATTACACCTTTTGCATGTGCAGGTCATGGAGTAGCTATGGGATGATGGAATATGTACTTCAACCAGTGGTGAAATCTAATTTTTCCCCCCACCGGCGTGGCTTGCGGGGTGTGTGTGTCATGTGATTGGGTGGGTGTGGCCACCTTTTCCACTTTTTAAAGCATTTTCCCCGTGCCGATTTGCAGGGAAAAAATGCTTTAAAAAGTGTGTGTGGGGGAGCTTCCAAGGATTGTGCGGCTCAGCTGTGAGCCGCACAATCATCGGAAGCTATTTTCTTGCTTTTAAAGCATTTTTTTCCCTGCCAGTTCGGGCAAATCACCAGGGGGAAAATGCTTTAAAAAGTGGGGGGAAAGCATCAGACAATCGCACAGCTCACATCTGAGCCACGCAATCCTTGGAAGCTTTTTTTTACTGTCATTTCGCAGAACGAAGGACAATTGTCCCTACCAGTTCAGCCAAACTGGGCCGAACCGGAAGGATTTCACCCCTGACTTCAACACTAGATTTGAGGAAAATCTGTTTTAGCCTGTTTACAGCGTTGAAACAATGTTCTCTTTCTCAGGTAAGTAGGAACAGCATATCTGATTTAGAAGACAAAGGCGCCTTTATAATCAATTGCAAAATCAGACAGAGTGGTGAAGCTAAGTCAATCTGCTTGCATGTATAAGCATTGTTAGTGTTTGCCTCTTAAATGATACATTTACAAATGCAAACACTCATTCCATGCTTTAGAACCACTTGAACTTACATGTATTTATTTCACCATTTTAATCTGCCAAGGGAGGAAAAACCCCAAATGTCTCCAAGTTACGACAGAAAGAATCAGCCAGGAAGTTGCAGAAGCTAGGAAAAAGAAAAGTAGTGCAAGTTTCTATAGCTGAAATTGATCTGAGCAACAAAGAAGCCCTAAAAGGAAGGAAAAAATTATTCATGCTGACAAAGAAAACTAAAATAGAAATAGGTGGAAGTGACCTAGAGGGCAAGACTAAAACTAATTCAACCATGCCAAACTTTCTCTGGCATATCTGTTTTCAAGTAGCTCTCACGCTACCATCTTTTTATTCACATATTTGAGGGTAAACTTTCAAACCCGCTATTACTGTCCGAACTTCTATAAAACTGAACACCTATTAGCTAGCAACAAGGAGATAAAGAAAACTATAACCCACTATTGCCATCTAGTGGTTGCCTGGATTTCTGCAGCCCAGATATGGCAGAGCCACACATTGGATTTAAAGTTCATTCCTTCAGAAAAGTACAGGTAGTCTTCGACTTACAACAGTTCGTTTAGTGACCAAAGTTACAATGGCACTGAAAAAAGTGACTTATGACTGTTTTTCACAGTTATGACCTTTGCAGCATCCCCATGATCATATATTCAGAATTCAGATGCTCGGCAACCAGTTCACATTTATGACTGTTGCTGTGTCCCAGGGTCATGAGGTCACCTTTTGTGACCTTCTGACAAGCAAAGTCAATGGGGAAGCCAGATTCACTTAGCAACCTGTCTATCAACTTATCAACTTAACCAACTGCTGTGATTCATTTAACAACTGATGCAAGAAAGGTTGTAAAATGGGGCAAAATTCACTTAACAAATGTCTCACTTAAGAACAGAAATGTTGGGCTCAATTGTGGACATAGGTCGAGGACTACCTGTATGCCAACATAATTTGAACTGCCCTCATTTACCAAACTTATTCTATTTCAGTGATAAGACAAGCAAGTACAGGTAATCCTCAACTTACAACAGTTTGTTTAATGACTGTTCAGAGCTATAATGTTATTGGAAAAAGTGACTTACAACCGTTGCAGCATCCCCATGGTCACATGATCAAAATTCAGACTTGGCAACTGACTCAGATTTATGACGGCTGCAGCATTCCGAGGTCATGTGATCACCTTTTGTGACCATCTGACAAGCAAAATCAATGGGGAAGCCAGTTTCACTTAACGACCCTGGTTCTAACTTAGTGTTTGCAGTGATTCACTTAACAACTGGGACAAGAAGGTCACAAAATGGGGCAAAATTAACTTAACAACTGTCTCACAGGTGTTCAGCAACATACATTTTGGGCTCCATTGTTGTTATAAGATGAGGACTACCTGTAGTGTTGTTCCTGCTGTTGTAATGTCAATGACTAAAGATAGTCATTGGACAGTTCTCATTTCATTTCACTCCCTCTGAGCATCCCTTCCCATCATGGAAAGCAATTACCAATTGCTCCCTGAATATGTGAATGGATATAGATGGGGGAGAGTAAGCAGTTTGTGTCAGGTTGCCTGGCTTCATCATAAGCACGGAGGAGGATGCAGGGTGAAGCAGGAAGTAGCTCTGTCCTCAACTACGGCTTCAAGGAAATGACACAAGACCTTGGAAGCATGTAGAAAAAGCCATAGAGTAAAAGGGATGTGAAGCCTGAAATTGGCAGTAGTGGAATACCTACCATGATGTAAAAAAGATGTGGAGACTCTAGAAAGAGTGCAGAGAAGAGCAACAAAGATGATTAGGGGACTAGAGGCTA